ATGAAGAAAAAATTTTTAGTTAAAAATTTTTGTATTGTGCCTCATCCTTCTCCCAAATTTAAAAAAAATTAAATTATATTGATATAAATAAATTTTAAATTTGAATTTACTTTTTAAAAATTAAATTTTTAACAATAACATATAAAACTTAAAATTAAAAATATTGATATAAATAAATTTTAAATTTAATTTTAAATTATATTTTTTAACTTTTATATTACTTCATTAATTTTATAAATTATTCATATTAATTATGTAATTAATAACATCATAATTATATTATATATAAAATATTTAAATTAGTTATATAATTATATTAAAATTAATTTAACATGAAATATATAAAAATATAAATGGCTTTTCTATATAGCTTTTACTATTGGAATGCATATCAATAAAAAAGCTATATCTACACTATTTATAAAGTCATATTATCAATATAGCTCTTCTAAAAAGCATCTCCCGTCGGAGATGCTCTTATGAGCGGAAAAGGAGAAGATTTGGAGAATCCGGAATCCTTTGATTAAGGAAGAGGTACGGAGAAAGAATTTTCATTCCTAATTTATCGGTTTTTCATTTTTTAAATGGAACATTTCAATATTCCGAGCATAACGCAACCACCGCTTTGAGATGGTTTGTTTTGGTACTTTAAAAGTATTTTAAAAATTGATTTTTTATTTTAAATTAATTTTAAGATTTTTTAATTTTTTAATATTAAAAATATTTTAAAAATTAAAAAAATATTTTTTTAATATATTTCAAAGTAAAAAATATTTTAACAAGCATCATCACTATACTTTTAAATATTTTTTAAAATTTATTAATTTGATAATTTGGTTTTATGTTTGTTAAAACTATATGAACCTAATTTAAATTAATAAATCTTTAATTGAATTATGTTTTACAGATTTTAACAAGCGAGCTTTTAAGCTCCGCTTGAAATTTTTTTTTTTTTAAAGTAAATTTTGAAGAAAATAAATTTCTGAAAAGTCAATTTTAGGGAAAATAAATTCCTGAAAAATAAATTATTTTTCGATATTTGGTAGTGTTATGAAAAATAAACTGGAAAACAT